TCGAAGCTGGACCTACGGTCGGGTTACTGGCAGATCAAGATGGCAGACAACTCAGTCCACAAGACGGCGTTCCGTACCAGATACGGCTCCTACGAATACTTGGTGATGCCGTTCGGACTCTGCAACGCACCAGCAACGTTTCAGGCGGAGATGAATCACATCTTACGGCCCTTGCTGGACGAGTGCGTGGTGGTGTACCTGGACGATATTCTCATCTACTCCAAGAACATGAAGGAGCACATGGAGCATCTATGGAAAGTGTTCGAGATTCTGCGGGAAAACAAGTTCTACGTGAAGCTGTCAAAGAGCGACTTCGCCCTGAAAAAGGTGCAGTTCCTCGGGCACATGGTGAGTGCCGAGGGCGTACACGTGGACCCGCGGAAGATCGAAGCCGTCAAGAAGTGGAAAGTACCGGAGAACGTGAAGGAGTTGCAGCAGTTCCTAGGCTTCGTCAACTACTACAACAGGTTCGTGCCTCAGTACGCTAAGATTGCAGCGCCACTGACCGACCTACTGAAAAAGGATACACCCTTCAAATGGGACACTCCTCATCAGCAAGCCATGGAACAGCTACAGACAGCACTGACCACAGCGCCAGTACTCATCCTACCAGACCCCGAGAAAGACTACGTCGTTGAAGCAGACGCTAGTGACCAGGCAGTCGGAGCAGTACTAATGCAAGATCACGGAAACGGTTTACAGCCTATCGCCTACCTCAGTAAAAAGATACACGGAGCGGAACTGAACTACCCCATCCACGACAAGGAAGCCTTAGCTATAGTCGTAGCCTTCAAGGCGTGGAGGTGTTACCTAGAGGGAGCCAAGACTACAGTTTATACTGACCACTGCAGTCTCAAATACCTGAAGTCACAGCCGACGCTCTCGCGACGACAGGTGCGGTGGATGGACTTCCTGGAAACACACTTCCACTACGACATCGTCTACAAGCCCGGGCTACACAACAAAGCAGACGCGTTGAGCCGCCCCGGCCATGTAGCAGGCATCCAGCTCGATGGGATGAACCCTCTGCTCAAGGGTCTATTCCAACATGGGTACTCCGTGGACGCAGAGATCGCTACAGCACAGACTAAGAAACTGTTTCAGTGGGAGAAAGACTTAGCTATAAGGAAGGGTTCAGGAAAGATTTGGGTACCGAATTACGCCCCGCTACGGCAGATCCTATTGGAGGAGTTTCACGACGTACCTTACGCGGGACATTTCGGGAGCAACAAAACGTTAGCAGGGATAGCAAAGTATTACTACTGGCCCGGGATGGCAGCAGACGTGCAGCAGTTCGTCACCTCTTGCGACACGTGCCAACGGATGAAGAGCAGCAAACAGAAAAAAGTAGGGTTACTTCAGCCTCTACCCGTACCGGAGCAGCCATGGCAGGTCGTTAGCCTCGACTTCATCACAGGACTTCCTTCGACCTCACGGGGACATGATTCCATCCTCGTAGTGATCGACAAGTTTTCCAAAATGGGTCACTTCATACCGACCAACGCCACAGCTACAGCTGAAGCAACTGCTCGCCTCTTCTTCGACCGCATCATCACCATCCACGGCATCCCCGCTACACTCATCTCAGACAGAGACCCAAAATTCACCAGTAAGTTCTGGAAGGAGCTCACGGGACTGTTGGGGACAAAGCTTGCAATGTCTTCAGCATACCACCCCCAGACTGACGGACAGACAGAGCGACTCAATCAGGTGGTTGAACAGTTACTGCGCACAGCCTGCAAAGACGATGTCAGCCACTGGGACACACAGTTACCGACCCTAGAGTTCGCTTACAACAACGCGTCACATGCGGCCACAGGGAAAACTCCTTTCTTCCTGTGTTACGGACGGGAACCACTCACACCACAGCAGCCAACCACACCGGCACACGTCCAGGCCGCACATGACTTCGTCACCACCATGCAGCAGCTATGGGAGACGACCCAGCGACGTCTCATCACGATGCAGACCTCCCAGAAGCAGTATGCCGATCGCCAGCGACGAGATCACTCAGTAGCAGTCGGAGATCAGGTGCTTCTTGACACGCGCAACTTGAACCTGTCTCACCTCCCATCCAAACTCCGGCCTCGCTTCTGTGGCCCTTTTCTCGTTGAGGCACAGGTGACACCAGTAACATTCCGCTTGCGCTTACCAGATACGTGGAAGCTTCACAACGCTTTCCATGTCCAGCTACTGAAACCCTACAAGGACCCCAACCAACAGTTCCAGTGACGGCAGCTACCGCTACCACCACCTGTTCTCATACAGGATGAACCTGAGTATGAAGTGGAGCGCGTTCTCACTCATCGGCGCCGCGGCGGCAAGACCCTCGAGTTCCTGATACGCTGGAAGGGATACGACCCCACTGAGGACAGTTGGGTTGCAGAAGCTGAGATGGGCAACGCACGCCGTGCTCTCCAGGACTATCTTGTCAAGCAGGGTGTATCTCATGCCACCCAGCTTTGAGGGGGGGACGTGTGAGAGTACGACGGCTTATGCTTGCTTATTATGCTATATTTAGCTTGGGTTTATTTTATCATGCATAGATATGCTTGATTTCCTAGGTTAGGTGCATTCCTATATGTTATTATAGTTATACCACCGACGCTTCGCGACCCTCAGAACATTCGCGTAACACCTGGGTTACCTGCCTTGTGTCAAGCCTATATATAGCCTCGTGTTGAACCCAGGTGAATCATTCAATTCAAACTCTCTTTTCTGAGCTCGATCCTAGATCCTCACAATAGGCACCCACAGTGAAACGTTACCCGCTCGCAACACTCGCCTCGGCCACGACTCCCGCCACTGTTCGCGATGCGACCCAACCTAACGGTTCGGCTGGTAACCCGCGCTCCGGACCTCCGCCTCGACAATGTCTTAAACCTCGGCGCTATGCCCGTAGCGCACCCCAATTTCCCGCATTACCGTTACCACGCTAGCTTCGCTATATAACTTCGCTCATGCTTTTCGCTCAACTGAATTGTTTTGCTTCGATAGTGCAATTCTCGCTCGCTTGCTCAATTGCACTCGTAACAGCGTCAAACAAGGCGTGGTAAGAACCGCAGTAAAGTGAAATCGAAAACGAAATCGATCGCTGCAAATATTGCTTCCTTTTATGTGCTGCGTCAGCTGTTACACAGTGATTTTAGTGGCGGTACCAGACAAACTTGCGCAGCAGAAGTGGGGTATCGACGGTTTTGCATACAGTACAATCGAATAGGGTTACCTGACTATTCTGCATGCCTATGATGCTGGCCCCAGAAAAATGCAGTTCGGACACGCCTTTAGGTTTCCCGCTTGCACCCCGCGTGCTCGGCTGGATCCGCAAGGCACATGGATGCAGCTCCGACCCAGCTAAGACGACATTTCAGGAGCATGTGATTCGTGAAGGGTCGTCACGTTTCATGATTTATTTATGATTGACACTTCACGAATGGTTACTTATTTTCACGAGAGCATACGAACGAGCCTCCCTTACTAGGTGCTAAGCGAGTGAACCATAATTCCACTGGAAACGCTATGCACGGCCAACATCTAGGCTGGATGTTGAGCGCGAGCAACAGCGGCGGTACACAATCTGGCAAAATGGCCACGTACGATGTGTGCTTCGCCGTTATGCCGCGTGTAACGTGCTTAGATCCAGTTGTCGCCGCAGATGTAACCTGGTCAGCCGCGTTTCCTCCGCAACGCTGGCAGATGAAACATGCGCTATTTTTTTCTCTCCCCACCCATTCTTTCGGCCGTATCTACCAGTTGCATCCATCGAGCTCCTTGAATAAACAGTAGCAGCGCATCCACTGCTCACGATTCGTGCTATCTATGCCAGCTAAGCGCCAATGGTGGCTCGAGAAATCATAGGACTGCTTTCCGTCAGCGCACAAGTGCTTTCTGCTCAAGTTCCACAGTTGAAAAGAGAGCTGTAACGTATTGCCCTAACTACCGAGCTAACAACCATCGACAATCTCTCTCTAAGTCAAATGTCGAGAGTTCTCTCGACAAAGAGAGAGTTGGAGAAGATGGTTGAGTTGGTTGGGATGAAACTTGGTTTGGGTTTGCCAAGCCTCAACTTTGGAGGCTTGGAACTTTTCCAACTCAACCAAGAGAATGTTGAAGGTTGGATTTCCAACCAATCACAAACTGCCAAACAATTGTTACAATCTACTCTATCCTAAACACAACCATTCAATGGTCCTAAGTTGGGTTTTCCCAACCCAACTAATTGCCACATAGGCTCCAAGCCTAGGAACAATCCCACCATGGAAACCATGGTTGGGAGAGTTCCCCAAGGGGTGTATTGAGGGGGTTTGAGCTTCCAAGCTCACTCTTCACCTCCCACTCCAACTAATCAATTGGAAATAGGATTGTTTCTCTAAGTCTTGGTTGGCTCTCTCACAAGCCCTCCTACACAACTCTTTTAAGCCATTCTATCAATTCCATCAAGAAGACTATCATCTCCAAGGCTATTGAGGCTAGCTAGAGTTACTAGTTTGTACTGGGATCATTATAAAAGCATTGTAACCTCTATTATAATAGCCTTGGGTGTTAGAAGAGCGAATTGCGAGAACATCTTCACTTCATACCTCGAGATTGCCGGATTAGCATGCGATGGTTTGATTATTGGCTGTCCAGGAACTGCAGCACCGCCGCCATAACCAGTAGTTGTACGTTTACCAGAAGTTCACTAGTACTAATACTACTATCTTATCATGGCGTCTCTCTTCGTCACATCAACCCACCCGTTTCATGCCACCTATACCAAGGGATATTCTGTCTGCGACGAGAACGATAGCGTTGACAGTAACAACGGCGAGGATAATGCTGAGGAGGACAACGATATCGAATATGAGTGCAACGGGATGGAGTGCAACGGTAACGAGGACAACGATAACGAGGACAATGGTAACGAAGACAACGGTAACGAGGACAACGAACTATTGGACTCCGAGTGGGCGCGTCAACTCATTGCGTCGCAGTGGAACATGCGAATCGGCGCCCCACAGATGATGATCGGACAGAGCTTCGCGGCTGCGAATGGCGGTGCTCTAACCACCGATTGTGTCAGTGTCACTACAGAAGGCTGCTGCGTCACTGCGACAGGGGTTCCAACAACCACCTCCAATGGTGTAAACCCGGGTGGTGCAGCTCGAGTGAAGCAGCTTGATTTGAAGCAAGAAGCGCGGGGGAAGTCGTCTGGGAGTCGCTATAACGCGGGAGCAGCTGCCTTGATCACATCGACCCATGCACCAAAGACGCCACAGCTGGCAACGGCCGTGGCGTCTCAGGGCCGTGGCAATTCTTCTGCTGGGAGCTGCAAAGCCGCTGTCTCAATGCAGCACTTGGCGTCTCAGAGCCATGGCAGTGCCACTGCAGGCAGATGCCATGGCAGTGCCACTGCAGGCAGCAGCCATGGCAGCTGCAAAGGTGTTGTCGTCTCAAAGCAGCACTTAGCGGCCCCTTCATCTGCAGCTGCCCCTGCTCCCCCCCATACAGGCACGCTTGCTCACGTGACACAAGAAGGCGCCAGTTTGAGGGGTCGCTGTACTGTACAGCATCAGCAGCAGCAGCAGCAGCGGTGGCGGCAGCAGCAGCGGCAGAAGCAGAAGCAGCAGCAGCAGCAGCAGCAGCAGCATCACCACCAGCGGAAGCAGCAGCAGCAGTTTGAGCAGAGCGGTCTTTCTCCCCATCCGCCAGCCACACATGGCCACTCCTCTGTGCACAGTGGGGGGCGTGGCGTTGCACACGGTGGGGGGAAAGCCGTGCACAGTGTGGTAATTAGCCCGCACAATCTGGGGCGCGTCGGAACTGTAGCCAGCACACGGTTGAAGCAGCTCACCACAGCAGCAGCAGCAGCAGCAGCGAGCAGAGCCGCAGTATCCAGTGCACATGCAGCTTTCCCTACAGCAGCAGCAACGGGCAGAGCTGCAGTATCCAGTGAACCTGCAGCTTTTCCCACAGCTGCAGCCGTGGCAGCTTTCCCTACAGCAGCATCCGTGGCAGCAGCCCACCCTGGATGACACTGCGAGCAAGTTGGTGTATGCCAACAAGCGCCACGCAGAGGCAAATGGCCATCCTTTTGGCTGGGAGGAGTTCAAAGCTGCCATGCTGACGGCATTCCTGAGTCAGCCCCCGGCGCTCGAGGTGTGTAGCCGCCTGGAGAACATCCAGTGCGGTGACCAGCCCGTACACGAGTACGCCAAGGAGTTTGAGAAAACTCTGTCGCTGCTGAAGACCGCTCTTCCTGAGAGCGAGGTCATCCACCAGTTTTTCAAGGGACTCCCCGAGCACATTAAGCGTGTGCACGTTGTTCGAGGGGAGCACCAGTGGAGGACCTATAAGGAGTGCAAGGAGCAGGTCATTGACACGGATATGAATTTCCGTGCGTACATGACTCACGCTCGTGCTCAGCAGCCGCCTAGTGCCAAAGGCCCTAGGGGGGGTGGTAGCAGGACCCCGGCGCCCAAGGGCCATGGTTCTTGGAAGAGGCCTTATCAGCAGAAGGGGGAACCCTCTGGGACTCAGTCCAAGAAGGCCCATGCGGGGTCCGCCAAGGACCCTCAGGATGCTGATAAGCCCTCGGGGGGCTGCCACATCTGTGGCAAGCTCGGCCACAAGGCCTACAACTGCCGTTGGAGGAGGACGGTCAAGAACTCCGGCAAGCCCAACCAGGGCAAGAAGCCGGATGGTTCTGGTCCTTCGGGTCCTAAGGATTTTCAGAAGACCAACTAGGGAGTGGGTACCTAGTTGGCGAGAGGGATCGAGTAGATGAGGCTTATGTACTTTGTGATGAGGATTTGCTAAAGCTAGAGAAGCTTGCATCATGCAAAAACGCTTGTTTGTATGCCTCTTCTATTAATGAAAAATCTGTTTTTAAAACTCGATCATACCCACTTGAAAACATTTCAATTGAATCCTTGAGAGATAAATTTTCAATCATCTCTTGCTCGTTCAAGGAGTTGCCAGCAATCATCGATATTGTGGACCGTTGTGTCCAAGAGCACCCGCTCACATCAGTGGGATTGGTGACTCGAATCGTGAAAGGAGAGTTATTCCGCCGATTTCACGAATGGCATATCCTGGCAACATGGGACAAAGGGCACCATGTTTGGTGGACCACATCCCAAAGGTTTGGACGTGCTCACAACAAATTTAGGGTGTACTATCGACCTCCTAAACTTGTTGTCGCTTGTCCCATCCATCCAAGATTCCAACAGAATTTACTGTTAACTGGAGGCATGAATGGGGACGACGCAAGGATTCTTGTCGATACAGGCGCGTCGGTTTCCCTTGTTGATGAAACTTGGGTTACGACACGCAACGTCCTCGTTGTAGGACTGTCATGTCCCATCCGCTTGGGCGACGATCGTGTCATTTCAAGTAAAGGACAGACACATATCGACATGAACGTACAGGACTATAGCGAAACAGTTCGCGTGTATGTCCTGCCACTTTTGTCAGGAGTCGACCTCATCCTTGGCATGGATTGGTTGCGAACCAACGAAGTCAAATTGGACTTCCAGTACAACATTGTCTCGTTCAACAAGAACGGAAAGACAACCCAGTGGCAAGTCAATGATACTTTGCCCACTAAAACACATACGCCTGAACGTCCCAGAACGCTGTGTGTGTTGGCCAACCAGTTCGGACATTTTGTTAAGTCGGCTGATACACTGTTCGTGGTACATCTTGAGAATGCCGAGGCCTCGGAGCCAGCAATTGAGGATTTCCCTCCTCAGATGCAAATACTGGCAGAGGAATTCAAGGATGGATTGAACCCAGTGCATCCCCTTACGGAGCACCGATGTTGTTCGTTAACAAGAAGGGCGGAGGATTACGCATGTGCGTAGATTATCGTGCCTTGAACAAGATTACGGTGAAGAACAGATACCCTCTACCACGAATTGAGGATCTGTTCGATCGGCTCCAAGGAGCTCAGTGGTTTAGTGCACTGGACTTAGCTCAGGGGTATCATCAGCTGCGCATCACCGAGGAAGATGTTCCTAAAACGGCTTTTCGAACGCCGTTCGGGCATTTTCAGTGGCGTGTGTTAAGTTTTGGCTTGTCAAATGCTCCCGCGTCATTCCAACGAGCAATGAACGATGTGTTTCGGGAGGCAATTGGCCAATTCGTCCTAGTATACTTGGATGATATCCTCGTTTACTCGAAGACAGAAGAAGAACACACGCAACACCTGAAATGGGTGTTAGGAAAACTGCGAGAGCATAAATTCTTTGCTCGGTTGTGGAAGTGTCACTTCTGCAAACGCGAGTTGGAATACCTTGGTCACTTGGTAGGCAACGATGGCCTCAAAGTTGATCCAAAGAAAGTGGCGGCAGTCCAACAGTGGCCCGTTCCGCAGGACGTGGGACAAGTCGGATCATTTCTTGGACTTGCAAATTATTTTCGCCGTTTCTTGGAAAATTATTCCTCCGTCGTCGCTCCACTGACTGCACTCACTCGCAAGGGTAATGCTTGGCAGTGGACTGATCAATGCCAGAAGGCATTTGAGGAAGTAAAAACCATGCTGACCAATGCTCCAGTGCTGGCTTTGCCAGACCCGTCCAAGCCCTACGAGGTGGTAACCGATGCCTCGACAATAGGGATTGGAGCGGTTCTTTTACAAGAAGGACGCCCCGTGGCATTTGAGAGTAGAAAGCTTTCCCCGGCTGAGCAGCGTTACACGACTTCCGAACAGGAGTTGTTGGCAGTCGTGCATGCGCTAAGAACATGGAGATGTTATCTGGAAGGTGTTGAATTCGTGGTCACGGCCGACCATTGTCCGAACACCTATTTTGCCACTCAAGCCACACTCACCCGCCGTCAAGCTCGATGGGCTGAACTCCTAAGTGGGTTCACCTACGATATTCGATATCGAGCGGGCTCGTCGAACATGGCTGATCCGCTGAGCAGACAGCCGATTGGCACAGCAATGGGGGTTGATGATAATGAACATGCAGCAGTGTTCGCTGCTTGTTTCAACATCCTCGCGGCTGCTCGAGTGAGTGAGATCGCCTTTGGTGGTTTTCTGAAACGCATCCGCACAGGGTATATAATTGATCCCTGGTTTCAGAACCCACAGAACATGAAGGATCTCTTGTGGGAGCATGAGCTCTGGTGGCACAGGAAAGAAATTGTTGTCCCACATGTGGGAAACCTGCGGAATGATATTCTAGCATAGGTGCACGCCACTAAGTATGGAGGACACCTGGGTGTCAAGAAAACCCGGTGGGCCCTCAGTGATGTATACTGGTGGCCGGGATTGGGCATTGAGGTCCAGCAGTTTGTAACTCGCTGTGACACGTGTGCACGGAACAAGCCAAGCACACAGAAGCCTGGTGGTTTGCTTCAACCACTTGCGATTCCCGATGAACCTTGGGAGAGTGTATCGCTGGATTTTATCACCGATCTCCCCAAGACACGAGATGGTCATAAGGCGATTCTGGTGTTTGTTGATCGCCTGACCAAAATGGTGCACTTCGTGCCCACGACGACTGACGTGTCTGCGGAGGATACGGCAAAGTTGTTTGTGACGCACGTTTTCCGTTTACACGGTTTGCCTCGTGTATTGGTGTCTGACCGAGACCCGCGAATCACAAGCCGGTTCTGGCAAGAGGTCATTAAGACACTGGGAACGAAACTCAAGATGTCGTCTGCTTTTCACCCACAAACGGATGGACAGACAGAGCGGACCAACCGCACCCTTGAGCAAATGCTTCGTTCTTTCATAAGCCCAACTCAGGACGATTGGGATGAATTGTTGCCAGTCGTGGAATTCGCTGTGAACAATTCTGTGCATGAAAGCACCCATGAGAAACCCTTTGTCCTGAACTGTGGTCGGCACCCCACAACCCCTGCGTCGCATGGGATCAAGAACCTCAAAATCCCTGCCGCAAAGGACTTTATTGGAAATCAGCAAGCGGCATTGAAGTCCGCTCGCCATTGGCTGCAGCTTGCCCAATAGAGGCAAAAGTCCTATGCCGACATGAAACGCCGGGAAGTCGTCTTTGCAGTTGGCGACAAAGTATTACTGAGTACGAAGAATATTCGTCTCAAGATCCCGGGAGCACGAAAGCTCTTCCCTCGTTGGATTGGGCCCTTCGAGGTGATTGCGCGTGTTGGTGAGGTCGCCTATAGGCTCAAATTGCCTGCGACATTGCAGATTCACAACGTCTTCCATGTGTCTCTGTTGAATAAGTACGTTGCAGAAGGCAAGTACTTACCACCACCAACTATCGTTCTCGGGGAGGAACTCTTTTATGAAGTCGAGCGTGTGCTAACGCACCGTGACCGACAATGCGGCCGCAAAACTGTGCGTGCGTTCCTAATTCAGTGGAAAGGCTATGGGCCAGAACACAACTCTTGGGAGCCTAAGGAACACTTGACCGAAGCAGCGGTTCAAGCGTATATGGAAGACCTGGCTCTACGAGCAGGCCCACAACCAGTGGACGGGGTTGACCCTGGTCGTAATGTGGTGCGCCGTGCTCGAAGCACTCGCCCTCAGAAGCAACCTAGGGCAACGGGGACGTTGCCACCTGGGGGGGGAGGAGTGTAACGTATTGCTCTAACTACCGAGCTAACAACCATCGACAATCTCTCTCTAAGTCAAATGTCGAGAGTTCTTTCGACAAAGAGAGAGTTGGAGAAGATGGTTGAGTTGGTTGGGATGAAACTTGGTTTGGGTTTGCCAAGCCTCAACTTTGGAGGCTTGGAACTTTTCCAACTCAACCAAGAGAATGTTGAAGGTTGGATTTCCAACCAATCACAAACTGCCAAACAATTGTTACAATCTACTCTATCCTAAACACAACCATTCAATGGTCCTAAGTTGGGTTTTCCCAACCCAACTAATTGCCACATAGGCTCCAAGCCTAGGAACCATCCCACCATGGAAACCATGGTTGGGAGAGTTCCCCAAGGGGTGTATTGAGGGGGTTTGAGCTTCCAAGCTCATTCTTCACCTCCCACTCCAACTAATCAATTGGAAATAGGATTGTTTCTCTAAGTCTTGGTTGGCTCTCTCACAAGCCCTCCTACACAACTCTTTCAAGCCATTCTATCAACTCCATCAAAAAGACTATCATCTCCAAGGCTATTGAGGCTAGCTAGAGTTACTAGTTTGTACTGGGATCATTATAAAAGCATTGTAACCTCTATTATAATAGCCTTGGGTATTACAAGAGCGAATTGCGAGAACATCTTCACTTCATACCTCGAGATTGCCGGATTAGCATGCGATGGTTTGATTATTGGCTGTCCAGGAACTGCAGCACCGCCGCCATAACCAGTAGTAGTACGTTTACCAGAAGTTCACTACTAGTACTAATACTAATATCTTATCATGGCGTCTCTCTTCGTCACATCAACCCACCCATTTCATGCCACCTATACCAAGGGATATTCTGTCTGCGACGAGAACGATAGCGTCGACAGTAACAACGGCGAGGATAATGCTGAGGAGGACAACGATATCGAATATGAGTGCAACGGGATGGAGTGCAACGGTAACGAGGACAACGATAACGAGGACAATGGTAACGAGGACAACGGTAACGAGGACAACGAACTATTGGACTCCGAGTGGGCGGGACAACTCATTGCGTCGCAGTGGAACATGCGAATCGGCGTCCCACAGATGATGATCGGACAGAGCTTCGCGGCTGCGAATGGCGGTGCTCTAACCACCGATTGTGTCAGTGTCACTACAGAAGGCTGCTGCGTCACTGCGACAGGGGTTCCAACAACCACCTCCAATGGTGTAAACCCGGGTGGTGCAGCCCGAGTGAAGCAGCTTGATTTGAAGCAAGAAGCACGGGGGAAGTCGTCTGGGAGTCGCTATAACGCGGGAGCAGCTGCCTTGATCACATCGACCCATGCACCAAAGACGCCACAGCTGGCAACGGCCGTGGCGTCTCAGGGCCGTGGCAATTCTTCTGCTGGGAGCTGCAAAGCCGCTGTCTCAATGCAGCACTTGGCGTCTCAGAGCCATGGCAGTGCCACTGCAGGCAGCAGCCATGGCAGCTGCAAAGGCGTCGTCGTCTCAAAGCAGCACTTAGCGGCCCCTTCATCTGCAGCTGCCCCTGCTCCCCCCCATACAGGCACGCTTGCTGACATGACACACGAAGGCGCCAATTTGAGGGGTCGCTGTGCTGTACAGCATCAGCAGCAGCAGCAGCGGCAGCAGCAGCGGCAGAAGAAGCAGCAGCATCATCACCACCAGCGGAAGCAGCAGCAGCAGTTTGAGCAGAGCAGTCTTTCCCCCCGTCCGCCAGCCTTACATGGCCACTCCCCTGTGCACGGTGGCGGGAGTGGTAGTGCACACGGTGGGGGGAAAGCCGTGCACAGTGGGGTAATTAGCCCGCACAGTCTGGGGCGCATCGGAACTGTAGCCAGCACAAGGTTGAGACAGCTCACCACAGCAGCAGCAGCAGCAGGCAGAACCGCAGTATCAAGTGCACCTGCTGCTTTCCCCACGGCTGCAGCCATCACAGCTGTCCCCCACGCGGCAGGAACAGCAACAAGCAGGCTTCAACCGAGCAAGCTGCAGCAGCAGTAGCAAGGCGGCGATCCTCCCTTGACCCGTAAACAGTCCGCTCGGCAGGAGGCTGAGGAGCGGTTTCAGGAGTACATGCAGAAACCAACTCGGGCCCAACGCGGCTCACCTCCCAGCCCGGGCCTTCGCTCCCCTCCCAGCCCAGGCCATCGCTCCCCGCCCAATACGCCGGTTCTCTCCCCGTCGCCACCGGCCTACCCGCGCACGCATCGCCCTGTGGGAATACACCACCGGTCGCTCTCCAGCCTCTCAGCCACGTCCTCACTGACCAGCTTCTCACCCACGCTGCTCTGGCAGTCGCTCTCTCGCGCTCCCTTGCTGATTGTGGGGACAGCAGAGTGTGAGAGGATAGCAGAGGGTGTGTGCCGCACTCGCTCACACACGAACAGACGCAGCTTGACGCGCCCTGTGATCAGCCCCCGGTCTGCAAAAGGAGCCGATCTGGGAGCCCTGTGAACAGCCCTCGAGCACACCACGGAACTTCAGAGCCGATCCAACAGTCAGTTGCAAATTCAGTATGCACTGCCAGCCGGGTTACAGTGCCATCAAGCCCGCCTCCAAGTCCACTATCAAGTCTGCCTTTATCGAGTCCGCGGTTTTTGATTCCGTTGTCATCCCAGCAGGCTAGTACTGGTCAGCACCCTAGCAGTCAGCAGACATGCTTTTACAGCGTCTCACCTCCATCGCCCGCCAGCTCGACAGCCACTCCCCGAGCGCGGTCTCTCGACGACCTCCCACCTCCGATGCTGCAGACGCAATCACTTGACATGCCATCCCCTGTGCCGCAGACACGCTCTCTTGACATCCCGCCTTCCGTTCCACAGGCGTGTTCAGTGGACATGGCATCGTCTGTGCCGCGGCATTCGTCAGGCCATGAGTGGCAGAATCAGCACACCGGGAGAAGAAGCTTCGACTCAGCCCATAAGTCGCTCGCTCTGCTGCATTGCCATGCTGCGCCTGCTCGCTCAAGCTTCAAAAACACCAACAGCAGCAGCAATTCTCTAGGAGTTTGGACCGAGGCTGCTGAGGCTGCTGATATCCAGACAAGAAGAGGAGGGGACGGTGCTGGTAAGAGCACTAGCAGCAGCAGCAACAGTGCTAGGGGCATGTGGAGCAGCGGTGTTAGCAGCAGCAACGGCAGGGTGTTATCGAAAGGCAATAGCCACTGTGGCATCTCACCATCAGCACCTGCGAGACACAGACGCTGGCTGTCGCAGTCAAGCCTCCCTCAACTTGGGCTCAGCTTTTGCGAGCATGCTCCACAGGCAACAGTCTCAGAAGTCTCAGCAGCCGCAGGAGTGTCAGGAGTATCAGCGGTCTCAGGAGTCTCAGGACTATCAGAAGATTCAGGAGAACCTGCAGCTCCTGTTAGAACCCGCTGCTCTGCAGATTCTGCCCATGATTCTCGAGTCAACCAAGTCAACGGACATGCGTCCTCTCATTTTGAGGCGCCTAAAAAATCTGCAGATTCTGCCCATGATTCTCGAGTCAACCAAGTCAACAGAGTCAACGGGCATGCGTTATCTCATTATCACCATCATCATCACCACCATCTGTGTGCCCAAGCTAAGAAGACAGCACCTTCACACAACAGTGAATTGGGTAGTGATTTCACTGGCTCGCATGGGAGTGGCTTTGATGGAACGGGTTTGCATCGGTGTGGTTCTGATTGCCATGGTTCGCATGGGTGTAGTGCGGTGCATGGTGGTTCGTTCCAGGGAAGGACGAGCGAGAGTGCCATGCCGAGAGCAGGCACAATTGAGCCAATGGAACGGAAGACATGTGTTCAGGTTCAGGGGTTGATGCAGGTGCCAAGTATCAGGCGCAACGAGGAGAGAAAGGATGGAACAAGTGGGATGCTGAAGCTGGGGGATGGTGCTTCTTGCTTGCCAAGTCCCCAGCACCAGCAGCAGCAGCAATGGAGGCAGCAGCTGAGGCAGCAGTGGCTACAGAATCATAATATGCAGTCATGCTCTCAGCTTCAATAATAGTGGTGGATCAAACAACAAGAAGCAGGCTTTTTGTTACAGTATCACATCAAGAACAAGAAAGGTATTCTAAGAATCGCTGGTGCAGCAAGCACCTGCTATCCAGAAGTTACATGAATTAGGGTGGTGCATGTCAGCAGTACTGCCTGTGTGCATGCTGTAGCAAAGCAGTGCTCGGCTTGCTCTAGGCCACTTCATTTTGGAGCAGTGGTGGGTGGCTGTCTCTCCACACTTCTGCAAGTGCCCTGGTTTCAGCTAACTGGTCCCTGAGGATTTGTCTGCCAACACCACTTTTGTAACCCCTTTTTAGCAATAAGTCCAGATTACACACATCTCTGCTATATTCATAGGAGACTACAAATCAGATCCCTTTTCCACTTTCAGCATATATGCATCTTCATCATGCACACTGTACCCCTCTAACAGCTGTTTATTCACGCTATGCATCTTCTCCCTCACTGTCTTGGACGATTTCCCAGTGTCTCTCCCACGTCTCTTCCCCCTCACATGCACCAACGGAGCATTTACCAACCTTGCCCCTTTCCTCTCCCAGTAAAACGTTTTATCGACAATGCAATATAATCCCAATTGTGACAAGACTCTGCAAGGAGTCTGCAATGCAGTCGTCATTAGGTGGATGAAATGAGATGGATGAAATGAGACTAGGTGGCAGGTCTGTGGACCTGCCGAAGGATAAGAGGGGAATGCCTCCTTATTGCATTCCCCCTTTCCGAATCTTGTCACAATCATTAAATTTAGAAATATATTTCTAAATTATTCATATAATGGGTAGTTGCGTTTCAGAGTTGACAGACTCTCTTCATCCGACCCTTCACTTGGAAAGAAGAGGGCGTGCAGGTTTGGGGCCTTGATGCAAGGAGGAGCCGTCAGCTTGTCCAGGTCAGGATCATCGGCATATCCAGTCCCATCGTAAAACTCTCGTTCATCCAGCATGTTCAGACGATAAATGTCCTCCACAGAAGTCTCCCAATCCTTTTCAATCTCCCGACCATCATCGTCCACTTCCGTGTACTGTGCGAAAATCCCAAGGCTGCGCAGGCTATGCCACTCCACATTCAATTTAGTGAAAGGGACCTCATGCTCTATTATAAGCACCTCCACTGTAGGAGCAACCTTGCGGAGCCAGCTCATCCAGGAAAAGTTTGAGCTGGCACTGGGATTGTCCTGCCAGGGTGAAGGTGGTTCGGTGGAGAATTCCTCGAGCGAATGGTACACAGCATATCTTGCGGGAACATTCAAGCAGATAACCCTGGCAGATGCAAAGCAGAGGAGAGATGCGTGGAGTTCGGCATGGGCGTAGAGAATGAGCTGGTGGAGAGCGAAAGGGCTGTCTGAATGGCAGGTGAGCTGGACAAAGTCAGCCATGACAGAGAGGGTCGTGAGGGAGGGTGGGAGGTTGAGATTCAGTTTGAGGTTGCAGTCTAGGAAGAGGAAACGGAGGATACGAACGTTGGAGAAACTGAATCTGTGGCTGATGGTGCGGAGGCAGAAGCTGCGGCGGGCCTCGTAGAAAGTAAACTCGGTAAGCTGCGGTGTGATGGAGTCTAGAAAGTCATACTCCAAGGCAATGCGATCCATGTGTGCGAGGGTCAGACAGCGCAGTGACTGCATCCACGCTGCATTCGCACAACTCTCATTCAGTTTCCACTCGCCCCGGCCCAGCTTCAGCTGCTGCAGCTGCGAGTAGTCTTTCAGGAAGCCCAGTGTAAAGCCGTCGCGACTCGGCAATCCATGTCGGACATGCAGCTCCAGATCCAGGGATGTGAGGGAGGCGCTGGAGCGTGCAATGAGGGGACCCAGGATGTGCAGGTGCTCTGGTTTGGTGAAGGTGAGGTCGAGGGAGTGGAGACCGCGGTGGTGGAGGAAGAAGCGGATGTTGTCCATCCACTGCGGGTAGTGATGGTTGCAGATGAGGGAGATCGGCTGACTCTCCTGCAGTGACATAACACCAAGCTTCGTCAGGCACGGAGAAGATGGTCCGCATGGAGAAGATGAGAGGACGTGGCTGACAGAGAAAAAAGAGAACGTGCAGAAAGATTCCTTAACATTCTAAAAATCGCTAAAAATCGCCAACATGACCAACCGTGGAAAAAAGGACGTGCAGGAAGTTTCGTTATACTTCTAAAGATTCGCTCACATGACTCAGAGAGGAGACGACGTGCAGGCGAACTGCTTAGGGATTAAGAAAAATGATCACGTGACTTACAGAGAAGGAGAGGACGTGCTGCAGGAGGCTCTTGCAGGCGAGAGCGCAGCACAGCAGAGGCCAGGAAGCCCCGTACTTGTCCGCATCTCTCCTGTGCCGCTCGCTACCCGTACAGTCAGGATCAGGAGACACTCGTAGAACCGCACCCCTCAGATGCGCTCCAGCTGCGCGCTGCATCCGCAAGGCGCGTTCATCGCGATCCTCTGCGATGACTGCAGGATCGTCCGGCTGTGATGGTGGCAGCAGCAGGCGGCGGAATATGTGGTGCCAGAGGGGAGCTGGCAGCATGTCCACTGCATCTGAGGTGCGGGTCCAAGGGTGGAAGGGAACGGAATGGACAATAGAATTACAGGAATGTTATTTTTAGTACATTCAGAATGGAAATGACAATCACGACATTACCAGTGTCAAGAAATAAAGCTAAGGGTTCGCTTGCTTGAGGGTAGAGCCTCAGACGCATCACCCGAACCTTCAGGAAAACCAAGGGAACGAGACTCACAAACGTCAGAAGTCCTACTAGATGCGGACCTGATTCGTCCATTGTCTCAGTCGGGATTGCTTCGACGAGAATAGAGAGTGTGAGCATGAGACGAGTCGAGTCGCTGTGAAACTCGCCGAAAGCGACTGAAACAGGAGAGGCGATGGATAGAGGCACCCATAGCTGCGAAGAAGAACGCTTTGTGCAGTGGCTGGATGCCCAACTTCGAGGACAGCGCAAGGCGTCTTGGCTCGAGCTGATGGTGGGACCGCCATGGCGGACCTCGAGGACATGCAATACGATCAATGTGTTCGATCGAATGAATCCGATTCTCGCCAGAGTGAAGGAAAATGTCCGCAGTAATAACGTTATTGCGTTATTGTAGGCGATGTGCAGGCGGCGTTCACGTCGTAATAATGTAATTACGTTATTGTACATGTCACCTGCTATTTTGACCATGAAAATACATGAGGTAGATTTGGCAAACATGTATATGGGGCAGCTACTGTGTGCAGTGTTGTGGCACTGATTCTCTGAACCGAGTGAGGCCCATGCTGGAAATTGTGGTGACACACACACGCATCTTCCTCCTAAATCCCCTCTGGTCACCAAGTTGTTGCAGAAATATGGTACCGGTTCATGTGTGTGTGGCCTATAGCCAGCCAGAAAGATCTTGTTTATAGCACTATGTTACCAGTGATAACTCCTGTGTTGGTAGGTGAGAATCTGACTGTTCATATCGTAGCATGATACTGTAAGGTCCATTGTAAGTTGGGGTTTGCAAGAAACGTCACTATACCATTCTTCCAGCACACAACACAAACCACTCCTCTACATTGGTTGGTTGACTCCCCTAAGCCGGTGCAGCAAGCAGCGCAGCTCCAAGCAGGTGTATGACACAGCACAACACAGCACACACATCACAGCACAGCACAGTACAGTACACCACATCCTAAGGCAATCACACACTGGCTGTTGCAGCAGCAGCAGCAGCGCAGCAGCTCCAGCATCAGCAGCAACACCCTTCCCCTCTAAAGGCATGAGGCAGCACGAGAGCCCAGACTTGGTGTGCATAGTTGCTCCCATGACCATCTCTGCGGGTTGTCGAGGCGCACGTTAACACGGCGCTGAATCATGCATTCGCAGTTGCAGAAGCAGTGGCGGCATCAGCAGCCACAGCCGTGTCTCCCCTGGGGGTAAGTCGGCACCAGAGCCCAGACTTGGTGTGCATGGTCGCCCCCATGACCATCTCTGTATCCTCTGGCGGCCCGTCAAGGCGCACGTTGAAGCGGCGGAGGATCATGGCGAGCGCCACTGTGGACTCCATCAGCGCGAACTGGTCCCCCACACACTTGCGCGGGCCGCCGCCGAATGGGAGGAAGGCGAAATCAGACGCCACCTGGGTGAGAGAAAGAGGGATGGAAGGGGGGAAGGGGGGTTAGGAGAGGAGAAATGATACAGCAAGCCATGGGGAGGAGGAGAGGGAGTCTCTGAGGGCAGATTGGCCTCCACCCATGAGCACCATCTCAGTGGCCTGTGGAGGGCCATCGAGGCGCACGTTGAAGCGGCGGAGGATCATGGCGAGTGCCACTGTGGACTCCATCAGCGCGAACTGGTCCCCCACACACTTGCGCGGGCCGCCGCCGAATGGGAGGAAGGCGAAATCAGACGCCACCTGGAGGGATGGGAATGGGGTAAATGTGTGTGTGTGTGTGCGTGTGTGTGTGTGTGCGCGCGCGTGCGCACGTGCTTAGGAGCATGGTGGTCAAGAGCGCACACTGGTCCCCCACACACTTGCATGGACCGCCTCCGAAGGGCAGGAAGGCGAAATCAGACGCACTCGGGTGATGCAGAGGGGTGGGGGGCAGGGACAGGGGGGGAGAGGAGAGACGAAATGACCAGCATGCTGTGGCTGGCCTCAAACAGAGTGAACTGGTCCCTACTAAGGCAAACGGACGCACCTCGTTGGGGTAGAGAGCCCCTGCCAGCCTGTCAGGGCCGTACCCATCCCACCCAGAGTGATTGACCTTATAGTGCCTAGAGCCCCAGTAGCCTCTCCCTTCATTGCCGTGACACAGGAAACTCACGCACCTCGTTGGGGTAGAGAGCCCCTGCCAGCCTGTCAGGGTCGTACCCATCCCACCCAGGGATGCCCAGCATAGCTGGAGGAAGTGACCTTACAGTCCATAGGGCCCCTGTAGTCCCTCACTTGAACGAATTGATACAGTGAACACACACACGCACCTCGTTGGGGTAAAGCGCCCCTGCCAGCCTGTCAGGGTCGTACCCATCCCATCCGGGGATGCCATCGCCACTCCTCCTCTCCAAAAACCTCTCCGGCCGAAACTCCTCCGGATTCTCCCAGTAGTGCGGCGAGCGGTTGATGTTGAACACCTGTGCATGGAGGGGCGGGGCGGGGCGGCGGGGGAAGGGGGGGGGTGTGTGGGGTGGGGTGAGGGTTGTGAATAATGTCAGAGAGCCTCTCTGGCCGATACTCCTCTGGCTGGCTGCTCCCAGTAGTGCGGCAAGCGATTGGTGTTGAAACACCTGAGCGATTGGGGGGGGGTGTAGTGGTGAAGGGTGTGGGGTGAGGGTTGTGAATTTTGTCAGAGAACCTCTCTGGCTGAAACTCCTCTGGCTGGCCGCTCCCAGTAGTGTTGAAACGCCTGGGCGAGAGGGGGGGGGGGGGGAGAAGGGGGATGTTCGGGAGGGGGTGAGGGGGATGAGAGCACACTCAGGGTGAAGTGCATTCTCTCTGCTCCCAGAAGTGCGGCGAGCGGTTGATGTTGGAACACCTGGGCGAGAGGGGGGGGGGGGAAGAAGGGGGATGTTCGGGAGGGGGTAAGGGGGATGAGAGCACCCTCTGGCTAAAGTGCATTCTCTCTGCTCCCAGAAGTGCGGCGAGCGGTTGATGTTGAACACCCGGGTGAGAAGGGACGGTTGGAGAGGATGGTCGGGGAGCGGGTTGGGTGGAACACGAGAGCACACTTAAGCCCAAGGGCCTTTTCTCTGCTCCCAGAAGTGCTTGTGCAAACAAGGGGTGCAAACAAGGGGTGAATGAAGGAAAAGAGGAGAGGAAACGCGAGCGGTTGATGTTGAACACCTGTGCTCAGAGGGGTTGTGGGGGTGAGGAGGAGCGGGGAGAGAAGGGGGGAGGGGGTGTTTCTTGGGAGAAGACAAGAGGGGAAAGTGATGGTAGGGTTGGCTAATCATGCTTCTGCTGCTTTTGAAAGAAGGGCAAGTGTTGATGTCAAGCAAAGAGATTATGTCATGACAAAAAGATGATGTCAGATCCATTTACATACAATAATCATGATATAAGGTGTAGATAAGGGGGGGAGGTTGAAGGGGTGGGGGTTGGAGATCACGAGACAGGGAGACATGAAATGGTGCTTTTTCTTGGGGGGGGGGATCTGAAGTGTTAATTCCATGGCTTGATTGCATGCAACTGCAACCGACGCTCCTTTGAGAGGAGGGTCAAAGGGGAGTGTGGGAGAAGAATCTCACAGAGACAAAGAGGTCGGTGCCCTTGGGAAGATTGTAGCCCTCGGGATTGCCGTTGTACCCAGCTGCCATGGGGACACGGGGAGGACCATGGGGAATGGGATGGGACGGATGGTGCTCATGATGGGATGGGGGTGCTGCAGAGAGATTTGATTTGAGCAGCGTCACGACGCGCACATAGAAGCAACAATAAGAGTAAAACTAGGGTTGCTTACGTGGCAGATGGTCATTGGCCAGCGCGCGACGAATGAGCAGCGGCGGTTGGGGGTAGAGCCTGAGAGCCTCTGACACCACTAGGCGGGTGTACCTGAGAGGGGAGAGGGGAGCGGGTGGGGGAGAGGGATGGGAAAGGGGGGTGGAGAGAGGAGAGAGGGGTGGTAGAGCGGGGTGGGAGAGAGGGATGTGAGCGGTGTTGAAAACCACTAAGATGACGAGAAGGTGCAGTATCGAAGAGGCTGATTCAATGCAATCATTGATGGTGAGAGAGCGAAAACCATGGGGATGTAATGTAAGCAACACTAGAAGTAGCAATGCTCTGGATGGACTGGAGGTGCCTTGTGGTCTACGGATTGATGGTTGGAGAGGATGATGATGACAGGAGAGGAGAAACAGGCATGCATGAAGCCCACAAGACAACACAACACACGTTGGTTTGAGAGTGTGGCACGGCACATCACTCACTCGAGGGACTTGATGTCTTGCAGAGTGGCCAGTCGGTCGCCCAGCACTGTGTCCACCTCCTCCTGTAGCTTCGCAAGCACATGTGGGTTCTGTGAGGAGGGTTGAGAGGAGAGGGATTGATGCAGATGGAAATGGGAGATGGAAATTGGAGATGGAAATGGGAGATGGAAATGGGAGATGGAAATGGGAGATGGAAATGGGAGATGGAATGGGAGATAGAAATGGGAGATGGAATGGGAGATGGAAATGGGAGATGGAAATGGGAGATGGAAATGGGAGATGGAATGGGAGATGGAAATGGGAGATGGAATGGGAGATGGAAATGGGCGATGGAAATGGGAGATGGAAATGGGAGATGGAAATGGGAGATGGAAATGGGAGATGGAAATGGGAGATGGGAATGGGAGATGGAATGGGAGATGGAAATGGGAGATGGAATGGGAGATGGAAATGGGAGATGGAAATGGGAGATGGAAATGGGAGATGGAATGGGAGATGGAAATGGGAGATGGAATGGGAGATGGAAATGGGAGATGGAATGGGAGATGGAAATGGGAGATGGAATGGGAGATGGAAATGGGAGATGGAATGGCAGATGGAAATGGGAGATGGAATGGGAGATGGAAATGGGAGATGGAATGGGAGATGGAAATGGGAGATGGAAATGGGAGATGGAAATGGGAGATGGAAATGGGAGATGGAAATGGGAGATGGAAATGGGAGATGGAAATGGGAGATGGAAATGGGAGATGGAATGGGAGATGGAAATGGGAGATGGAATGGGAGATGGAAATGGGAGATGGAATGGGAGATGGAAATGGGAGATGGAAATGGGAGATGGAAATGGGAGAAGGAAATGGGAGATGGAATGGGAGATGGAAATGGGAGATGGAAATGGGAGATGGAAATGGGAGATGGAAATGGGAGATGGAAATGGGAGATGGAAATGTGAGATGGAAATGGGAGATGGAAATGGGAGATGGAATGGGAGATGGAAATGGGAGATGGAAATGGGAGATGGAAATGGGAGATGGAAATGGGAGATGGAAATGGGAGATGGAAATGGGAGATGGAAATGGGAGATGGAAATGGGAGATGGAAATGGGAGATGGAATGGGAGATGGAAATGGGAGATGAAAATGGGAGATGGGAGATGGAATGGGAGATGGAATGGGAGATGGAATGGGAGATGGAAATGGGAGATGGAAATGGGAGATGGAATGGGAGATGGAAATGGGAGATGGAATGGGAGATGGAAATGGGAGATGGAATGGGAGATGGAAATGGGAGATGGAAATGGGAGATGGAATGGAGATGGAAATGGGAGATGGAATGGGAGATGGAAATGGGAGATGGAAATGGGAGATGGAATGGGAGATGGAATGGGAGATGGAAATGGGAGATGGAAATGGGAGATGGAAATGGGAGATGGAAATGGGAGATGGAATGGGAGATGGAAATGGGAGATGGAAATGGGAGATGGAATGGGAGATGGAAATGGGAGATGGAAATGGGAGATGGAAATGGGAGATGGAAATGGGAGATGGAAATGGGAGATGGAAATGGGAGATGGAAATGGGAGATGGAAATGGGAGATGGAAATGGGGAGATGGAAATGGGAGATGGAAATGGGAGATGGAAATGGGAGATGGAAATGGGAGATGGAAATGGGAGATGGAAATGGGAGATGGAATGGGAGATGGAAATGGGAGAATGGAAATGGGAGATGGAAATGGGAGATGGAAATGGGAGATGGAAATGGGAGATGGAAATGGGAGATGGAAATGGGAGATGGAAATGGGAGATGGAAATGGGAGATGGAAATGGGAGATGGAAATGGGAGATGGAAATGGGAGATGGAAATGGGAGATGGAAATGGGAGATGGAAATGGGAGATGGAAATGGGAGATGGAAATGGGAGATGGAAATGGGAGATGGAATGGGAGATGGAAATGGGAGATGGAATGGGAGATGGAATGGGAGATGGAATGGGAGATGGAAATGGGAGATGGAAATGGGAGATGGAAATGGGAGATGGAAATGGGAGATGGAATGGGAGATGGAAATGGGAGATGGAAATGGGAGATGGAAATGGGAGATGGAAATGGGAGATGGAAATGGGAGATGGAAATGGGAGATGGAAATGGGAGATGGAAATGGGAGATGGAAATGGGAGATGGAAATGGGAGATGGAAATGGGAGATGGAAATGGGAGATGGAAATGGGAGATGGAAATGGGAGATGGAAATGGGAGATGGAAATGGGAGATGGAAATGGGAGATGGAAATGGGAGATGGAATGGGAGATGGAAATGGGAGATGGAATGGGAGATGGAAATGGGAGATGGAATGGGAGATGGAAATGGGAGATGGAAATGGGAGATGGAAATGGGAGATGGAAATGGGAGATGGAATGGGAGATGGAAATGGGAGATGGAAATGGGAGATGGAAATGGGAGATGGAAATGGGAGATGGAAATGGGAGATGGAAATGGGAGATGGAAATGGGAGATGGAAATGGGAGATGGAATGGGAGATGGAAATGGGAGATGGAAATGGGAGATGGAAATGGGAGATGGAAATGGGAGATGGAAATGGGAGATGGAAATGGGAGATGGAAATGGGAGATGGAAATGGGAGATGGAAATGGGAGATGGAAATGGGAGATGGAAATGGGAGATGGAAATGGGAGATGGAATGGGAGATGGAATGGGAGATGGAAATGGGAGATGGAAATGGGAGATGGAATGGGAGATGGAAATGGGAGATGGAATGGGATGGAAATGGGAGATGGAATGGGAGATGGAAATGGGAGATGGAAATGGGAGATGGAATGGGAGATGGAAATGGGAGATGGAAATGGGAGATGGAAATGGGAGATGGAATGGGAGATGGAAATGGGAGATGGAAATGGGAGATGGAAATGGGAGATGGAAATGGGAGATGGAAATGGGAGATGGAAATGGGAGATGGAAATGGGAGATGGAAATGGGAGATGGAAATGGGAGATGGAAATGGGAGATGGAAATGGGAGATGGAAATGGGAGATGGAAATGGGAGATGGAAATGGGAGATGGAAATGGGAGATGGAAATGGGAGATGGAAATGGGAGATGGAAATGGGAGATGGAAATGGGAGATGGAAATGGGAGATGGAAATGGGAGATGGAATGGAGATGGAAATGGGAGATGGAAATGGGAGATGGAAATGGGAGATGGAAATGGGAGATGGAAATGGGAGATGGAAATGGGAGATGGAAATGGGAGATGGAAATGGGAGATGGAAATGGGAGATGGAAATGGGAGATGGAAATGGGAGATGGAAATGGGAGATGGAAATGGGAGATGGAAATGGGAGATGGAAATGGGAGATGGAAATGGGAGATGGAAATGGGAGATGGAAATGGGAGATGGAAATGGGAGATGGAAATGGGAGATGGAAATGGGAGATGGAAATGGGAGATGGAAATGGGAGATGGAAATGGGAGATGGAAATGGGAGATGGAAATGGGAGATGGAAATGGGAGATGGAAATGGGAGATGGAATGGGAGATGGAAATGGGAGATGGAAATGGGAGATGGAAATGGGAGATGGAAATGGGAGATGGAAATGGGAGATGGAAATGGGAGATGGAAATGGGAGATGGAAATGGGAGATGGAAATGGGAGATGGAAATGGGAGATGGAATGGGAGATGGAAATGGGAGATGGAAATGGGAGATGGAAATGGGAGATGGAAATGGGAGATGGAAATGGGAGATGGAAATGGGAGATGGAAATGGGAGATGGAATGGGAGATGGAAATGGGAGATGGAAATGGGAGATGGAAATGGGAGATGGAAATGGGAGATGGAAATGGGAGATGGAAATGGGAGATGGAAATGGGAGATGGAAATGGGAGATGGAAATGGAGATGGAAATGGGAGATGGAAATGGGAGATGGAAATGGGAGATGGAAATGGGAGATGGAAATGGAGATGGAAATGGGAGATGGAAATGGGAGATGGAAATGGGAGATGGAATGGGAGATGGAAATGGGAGATGGAAATGGGAGATGGAAATGGGAGATGGAAATGGGAGATGGAAATGGGAGATGGAAATGGGAGATGGAAATGGGAGATGGAAATGGGAGATGGAAATGGGAGATGGAAATGGGAGATGGAAATGGGAGATGAATGGGAGATGGAATGGGAGATGGAAATGGGAGATGGAAATGGGAGATGGAAATGGGAGATGGAAATGGGAGATGGAAATGGGAGATGGAAATGGGAGATGGAAATGGGAGATGGAAATGGGAGATGGAAATGGGAGATGGAAATGGGAGATGGAAATGGGAGATGGAAATGGGAGATGGAATGGGAGATGGAAATGGGAGATGGAATGGGAGATGGAAATGGGAGATGGAAATGGGAGATGGAAATGGGAGATGGAAATGGGAGATGGAAATGGGAGATGGAAATGGGAGATGGAAATGGGAGATGGAAATGGGAGATGGAAATGGGAGATGGAAATGGGAGATGGAAATGGGAGATGGAAATGGGAGATGGAAATGGGAGATGGAAATGGGAGATGGAAATGGGAGATGGAAATGGGAGATGGAAATGGGAGATGGAAATGGGAGATGGAATGGGAGATGGAAATGGGAGATGGAAATGGGAGATGGAAATGGGAGATGGAAATGGGAGATGGAAATGGGAGATGGAAATGGGAGATGGAAATGGGAGATGGAAATGGGAGATGGAAATGGGAGATGGAAATGGGAGATGGAATGGGAGATGGAAATGGGAGATGGAATGGGAGATGGAAATGGGAGATGGAATGGGAGATGGAAATGGGAGATGGAATGGGAGATGGAAATGGGAGATGGAATGGGAGATGGAAATGGGAGATGGAATGGGAGATGGAAATGGGAGATGGAATGGGAGATGGAAATGGGAGATGGAATGGGAGATGGAAATGGGAGATGGAATGGGAGATGGAAATGGGAGATGGAATGGGAGATGGAAATGGGAGATGGAAATGGGAGATGGAAATGGGAGATGGAAATGGGAGATGGAAATGGGAGATGGAAATGGGAGATGGAAATGGGAG